GGTAACTAGGTATTTGTAAATTCACACGTTTTTTGCAAAGTCACAAAAAGTAGAAAATACAATACCTCAGTGTGTGCTTCTGAGCTTGCAGTCTCTTCTCCCTCTTCACATGACAAGTCGATGAATTCCAGCATGTCACTGCGGCCGTGTGCTCGCTTCGTAGTGGCAGGCTCATCATCTGAATCATCCTGTGGGGACAGATGGGGCTGACTCAACACCAGTGCAAACATTTGTACAGAAATAGAAAAAGAAAGCTTAAATCTCATAATAAAAAAAATATAAAAATCAAAAAAGGCACAAGGAAAATACACAGCTTTTACGCCTTTTGAATAGGCTGTTAAATGCAAAATGCAGTAGTCTGTATGACTACTGACAACCCATTTTTCAACTGGCATTTGAGACTTCTACCGACTGGCTAAGGAAAAAGGAACTTACCCGACAGCTGCTGTAGATAATACGTCTTTTCTTTGCATTGTACAGAGCCACCTCTTCATCTCCTCTGGTAGTTCGAATGTCCTCTTGGTCCCTGAGAAACAATTTCCACCATGTTTAAAATGCAAGTAACAACATTTACAGCTGAAAGAAATGTTGTAATATCTCCTTAGGTATATAAATAATGCTCTTTGTTGTTTGATGAATAGTCACTTTTCTGTTGATGTCAGTCATGTCTACTGTGACTAGAGTCCAAAAATCACATTGGACCCTTCAAAGTGTTGACGACGTTAAGAAAACCAGCCTGTGTTCACATTGTCTTACATCCTTTTCATGTGTCATGAAATAAAAGGCTTGCAAAAATATTCTCCAGTCTAGAGTAACATCAAACAACTTATAAAAAAAACTTTGTAATTTTTTACAAGAATATATAGCATGTTGAACTCTGTTGGACATTATATAATGAGTAGGGAATCCTTTGTCTAAAGACTGACTTTAGAAACAAAATCTAATATAAAGGGATCACAGATATTTCCCCCCCAGTCATGAAACATCTTCACTTACTGACAAAGCTATCTCATGTCTCTACCTGTAGCTGCTGGGGGCCAGTTCAGGCACCACCACCCTGCGCCTCCAGGCCTGCAGATCTCTCTCGGTGGCCATTTGGCTGCGAGGAGCATTCTGGTGCATCTGTCGGACACCCTCTACTTGTCCACTGCGACGCAGACCCACATTAGGTGAGGACTGTACATCTGCTCGGTCATTCACAGACACTGCAATGAAGGAAAGTTAACAAATAGTAACCTTAGAGTAAATGAGTGTCAAGACACTGTGTAAAGCTTACATATTTAGCTAGCCCCAACAGCTTGCCAGATCAAAGGCAGTTAAAATAATCCAATACAATATTGGTTGGTACAGATACCTCTGCGTGGTGTGCGTGGTGCTGGTGCCAAGATCGGGCCCTGTGCCTCAGCTTGCCCCTCTGGTCCTGCTCCAACCCCAGGCGGGTTCTGGCGGTCCTGTTGCTCCTGGAGCTGTCGGATGGCATCATCCAGAAGGCTGTTGCGTCTTACCGTAACCTCCTCATGCTCTGCAGTCTGCTGGCTGATAACCTGCTCCACCACCTCACCATCACCTAAAGATGTCATTTAACAGGGAGACCAAAAGCATTACAGGACAGTGGTGGAGGTTGGCCAAACATATGGAAAGGTTCATCATGTTCTTAAATGTGACTGGTGAAAACCAGTGAAAGTGGAGTAAATTTTACAAGACTAATTATAGTTGAATTAAGGGCTTACTGGTGGCTACGTATCCCAGCTGGGGAACCAGATGTTCAGCAGCAATGTTCTCTCGCCCTGGCACAAGACGCTGGTACCTGAACATCAGGTTAAAAAAAAAGGTCAAAACATTGCATTAACTGCTCTAATCTACTTTAGTCCTGTTTTTTGTAGCAGGCTAGGGCACTAACGGTCTACAGAGAATAAACAATCAATGGATGGTGAATGTACTGATGCTGTATAACTGAAAGCATCTTATGTTTACCTCGGCGGATGGGGGTTTCCATCCACATCCACCAAGAAGGGCGGGGGCATGAGATGGGGAGCCTGCTGTGTCTGTTCATCCAGCACAAAGCCGTTGGAATCCCTGATCAGTGGCCTGTAGTCTGTGTGGAAGAACACCTGGTCTGGAAGCTGTGTGGAGACCAGCAGAAAGACGAGGAATAAGACACTGTGCTGGTTTTGTTATATTCATATAGTGTGGGATTATTCAGGCACACACACATTTTTGGATGCCTATTATTACCTTTTCATTCTATACAGTGATCTTAGAAAAAAGTTAAAACATCAACAATAATCACTAAATTGCCAGTATCTGCACTGATGAATTGTTTGTGTAAAGACTGAAATGTACACATGCAATTAATTCTTGCCTTCTCATAAGGCTTGGAACTGCCAAAGCCAAAGATGAGGAGATGGCCGTGGGAGTCTGTGCAGGCGAAGCGCTGGCCATCAGGAGTAAATTTGCAGTCGAAAACGGCTCCGTGACCCTGGCCTTCAATCTGGATGAGAGAAACACAAAATCAGCCCAGGTACAGAAATTTCTTATCCAGGGAGAAAGCGTTTTTAACATCTCAAATGTTGTCCCCCCCCTGGATGATTTTGCTCCTTTCAGATCCTGCTCAAAATAATATACGTTTTTACATGGTGCTTATTGCTTTTTTTTTATATTGTGTTATCATGGTGCATCTCTAAATGAGTACTGTTTGTTCATGTTGGAGAACGGTTGTGAGCGCCAAGTGTCATTGTACCATGTTGAAGTAATGCTGTGTGTTTGTCCCTCGCAACAGGTCCCATATGAAGACGTTGCCATCGTGGCCGGCAGACAGAATGATCCTGGGGTCAAAAGGGTGTGGTTCCAGGACAAACACTTCAGCCTCATGACCCTAAAAACAATGTTCAGGTTAGCCTGTGGCATGAAATGGTCCATTTGTGGAGGCTAAACTGGGTGGTTTTGATATCCACTCTGCTCTATATTTCACTAAGAGAAACAGAACAATGTGCAATTACTCTGAGGATATGTAGCAGCTGTCCTGTGTAGGAGTTCCACACTTTGAGGAGATGGTTGTTAACAGCTGTGATGACTGTATTGTCATGGCGATCCCACGCTACCATGGTGACTTTGGGTGTGAAGTAGCTTTCCTCTTCACTTGTTGTTTCAGCACTGAAGGGGAGGACAAAAGATGCTTATTGCTCATTGCAGCACAAGCAGCAGCACAAGCAACGTTATAAAATAAACACACTACACGTTGCAGCTCTTTATGCCACACAAATGACAGCAAAACAATTGGTAGCTTACACCTAATTCTGTGAGGTTTTCTCAAAGCTGAGCCCAAGTTTCCAAAAAAACTGCCCTTTGACATAAATGAGCATGTTGGTGCATGTTCATCCTCCATAGCATTAAACTGTGTAATTGTGTTTTCTTTTTCACAAACAAGTTGGTCATTCCATTTATGCTCAATAAACTGCAGCACGTTTATGCTTTTGTGCCATAAAGCAATCCAGCAAATTTAGCAAAGCGTCTAAATCTCTAACTAACTGAACAGATTGGGTACAGACCAGTAACTCAACCCACGTGGTGCTGATTATTCCAATTGTTTCTTTGCCAATTTTTTCTTTCAAACTGCTACAAAGTGGATAAAAACAAAACCTTCTTTAAACTGGATTCTACTGCAGCTCATGATAATTGGGGGCGGCTGTGGCTCAGGAGGTAGAGCGAGTCGTTTCCTAACCGGAGGATTAGCGGTTCGATTCCCGGCTTGTCAAGTCAACATGCCAAGGTGTCCTTGAGCAAGACACTAAACCCCCAGTTGCTCCCGGTGATGTCACCGGTGTGTGAATGTGTGAGTGCGAATGGCCGAATGGGTGAATGGCCGAATAATGTGTGAAAGCGCTTTGAGTGTGTTGTAAAAAGCATAGAAAGGCGCTATACAAGTATAAGACCATTTACCATAAATACAGCAATTTGGGCAATTCCCTTTTAAATTAACACAGTAGCAAATTTAATACATGAAAATGTACAGAAACAAATGATTTTAGTCATTAGTAAACACTACTTGTGCAAGGCAGTGAAAACACCAAAAGACAGATGAGCCAATGACAGACAGGCTCTAGGTAGTAAACATTTTGGGCAGAGTGACATTTATATTTTGGAGAGGTACTGAATCAGCACAGTAACATGCTTTATATTCAAAGTCTGTCTGAATGAAAAAAAGACATGAGTGGTTCGAGACCACAAACCATCCAAAGGAAGGCTAAGCTAAAAAGCTGGTGGAGAACACAAAACCACCCTTTTATCAGTTTGTACAACCTTAGGCTAACTCCTGCAATAACACAGCAACACTTAGAAAAGTCTAACATTTCCCTTTTGTCCACTGTAACAAATACATTAGCCTACAGCTTAGCAAGCTGGTTAGTGAAGATGTACTTACCTTGTACAATTAAACAAATATTATGTCAGGGTATTTAGTACATTTTAAATGTCTAATCTCAATCAGTGACCAATACATTTGTAAAATAGTGCAAATAATAGAAAAGAAACCACAGCTTTTTAAAATATTAGTTACATCAGCAGCCAAATGTTTAAAAAGACTTACATAACCTGTTAGTGACAGATGAAAGAACTACTGTAACACTTATACAATCTGACAACAGAAAAAATTATATATTTTGGCAGATGACATCAGCACCTGGATCACCTGGATGTGCTCTGACAGCTCTCTGAGGTAGTCTAGGCAACAAGGTTGCGCCTCACACACAGCAAATCCTCCAGCTACTTGTTACAGCAAATGAGAATCTTGTTCTTGCATACTCTGCTGCTTATTCAGTGTATTAACTCATCTTATGATGCAATCAGTGAACACAAATCAAAGACGTGGCTAAGATCAGATCATTTTCATCCACACTGGTTAACAAGAGCAATGTTGGCCCTTACCCTGGAAGCGTGGCAGACATGTTGAGCAAGATGCACCTCCACTGCTGCCGCTGATGGAGTTTCCAGATCCGTGCTGTTCCATCACGACTTCCACTCACAAACCTGAGGTAGGACAGTTACATTTAACTCACTATGATGAATGCACGGTGTAACAGACAAATGAATATACAATCATTCTGTCATACCGTTCTCCCGAGTGGCAAAACTGGATGCTATCAACTTTGTCCTACACAGAAAGAACGCACATATGGAGAATGATCATTTCATCATCTGCTAATATGCAGATAAAAGTCTCCATGAATGTGTGAGATGGTTCTTACAGTGTGTTCATGGAGCTCTGAAATCTTCTCGGGACTCCCGCTTCCCAAGAAATAGATTCTGATCACATCGTCAGTACTTCCTGTTGCTAAGAACATCCCACCTGAAAAAAATGTTTAAAACAGAAAACTGTTTAATTTCAAATTCTGAGAAGTTAACTTTAGCTGTAATTAGAGGTAGCAGCACATAGGCAGGTTTGCTCACCACAAGATAAGAGTCTACCTAAAAGGACTAAGTACCTGGACTGAATGAGGAGCACACAGTCTGAACTCCTGGCCTCGGCCGCTCCAAAAATTTGTGTGGCCGATCACTAGAAGGACAGCAGACAAAATATATAAAGATTTTATATGGAACAGGACAAGTGACTAAATTTTACTGACAGGAAAAGTACATTTTACCGTCACACAGAGGTACATAGTAAAATAGTAAATATAAAATGACAATATTGTGTCATCTTTAAAGAACTGTCAACCTTTCTCCCTCATCATATACATCTTGTCTTACCTAGATTTTTGCCTAAACCCAGTCAAACAGCAACAGTTGTGACCTTTATATTTGTTTATGTATTGGCCCATCCTTTAACACAACAGCCACTTATAGCTCCACCTAATCTAACCGGCATTTCAACTTCAGGCTGACAGACAAGATTACAGTCAGGTCTGATATTGTGTTAACATTCCTTTGCCAAATAAGACTCATCCACATACTCTGAGGGAAACAGAAATGACACTGTACTTTATTAGTTCAGTTGTTTTATATGTTTATCTTGGTGCTTGCGGGACAAGTAAATGTTTTTAAGTTCCGTTTATGAAGGCAATGCTGACACTCTGCATGCACCTATATTAAGGCCCCTTGTTATCAATATAATTAGCCAGATTTGGAACATAAATAAAAAACTGTCAACCCAGTTTGGCTTGTTTTCTAGTATTTGCTGTATACCTATATTATATTTCCATTTTTAATTCCCATCTTGGAAGACAGGCGACAGATTAGCTTGTTTCCTAAAAACTTAGTTTAACTAATACAAACATACAAAAACATGTTTTTTAATATCCATAGTGCAAATGTCCCTTCAGTTTCCGTTTTGTTCATTCACAAAAATTATGTTGACACAGCATTCATAATAAAAATCATTAAAAGCATTTAATGATTTATATGATTAAAAAAAAAAAAAAAAAATTAAGAAAATATTTGTAAACAGACACAAGGTCACAATTTCAAACAAACACTGTTACTTAACAAGCAACACTCACTTAAAGTTGATGTTGCTGACCTCCCACTGCCAGAAGCAAACAGTAGCATCAGTTCCAGTGGACAGCATGTAACGTTTTGAGCCCTTGGCAAATGGTGAAAACTGAAAACAACACATTCACAGATCAGACACGTGGATTACTTTGGCAAAATTGAACTAAAATCAAGACATTAATTCTACATGGAGAATTACTTCAAATACTAACTGTTCCAGTAAGGCCAAAAAGCCTGATCTTGAGCAACAACAACCCTGAACGTTTAAAGTTTTGGCATAGTGTTTGAAGGCCACGATCTGCTAACCCCTGGACATAGAAATATAGCTTAAGCTCTCACTCTAAGGTGGCATATTTGAAACTTATTAATGCTTTAAATGCTGCTTGAGCTTTTTATGTGGAAATATTCACTCAGTAATTGACTACTGCAAACCTGCAAACAGAGTTCCCTGCAGAGCTCCCTCTTTACAAGTTATTAATTCAGGCGAACACCCCAAATCCTCCCAAACAATAACAATCTGCAGTTATAGGCGAATACCTCCTTATACCTTCAGATGTTACCCTATTTAGAAAGATTTAGAAGCCAATATACTTTGGCTCTTCGAGAAAGTGGTAGGTTTGGTCTGAAATAACCCATAAAAGCTATGACATTATCCACATATGACCATTATTTTATTACATAGTGTTTAACTTCCTAGAAACAGACACTTAATTTGTAGTATATAAGATGTAATAAGTAGATAACTGACTAATTCATCTAAAGTATTTTCTAATACAATTCTTTTTGAAAATTAAGTCAAGAGTTTAATAACCCATTGTCACTTCTTAACAATTGTATTTTAGGAGAAGAGAGAAACTCAGAGCATCATGGGGCCCCCCAGCAGCCTAGGCCTATAGCAGCATAACTAAGGGAAGGCTCAGGGTCACCTGATCCACCTTAACTATAAGCTTTATCAAAAAGGAAAGTCTTAAGTCTAATCTTAAAGGTAGAGAGGGTGTCCGCCTCCCGAACTGGAAGCTGGTTCCACAGGAGAGGAGCTTGATAGCTAAAGGCTCTGCCTCCCATTCTACTTCTGTGGACTCTAGGAACTAGAATCTAATAATGAACTGAATGCACTGTTGAGGCTGTCATTGTCAGCATCTACGTGAATAGTAAAATCACCCACTATGATTATCTTATCTGTACTAAGCACTAAATCAAACAAAGTCTGAGAATTCACTTAAAACCTCTGAATAAGGGGCAGGTGGATAGTATACAATAACAAATAGACCTGGCTTTTGAGTTTTCCAGTTTGGGTGTGAGAGGGAGAAGATAACATGAAGGCTGATGGAAACAGATGCTTCAAATTAAACAAGCTCTTGCCAGACCTGCTAGGACTCTGTGCCATTGCTGCAAAAGCATATGACTGACACCCAATTTTTTATGCTTCTGTCCCATTATAAAAACAATGCATTAAAAATGTTCATTAAACAAACAATACATAAGCCACTGTAGATGGGAGGCTGCAAAGCAATACACAAAGTAGTAAACACTCAATTATTTACCCAGCATTTTAAAACTATTTGCATAGGACTAAGTGATAGCAAAAGAACACCGATGATGTTTTTCTTTTCAGAAAAGCTTTGTTTACACTTTAATGAAAACATACCTAACAATGACACTATGACAGCAGCATGGTGGGAAACACTCAAAATGTAAAAAGGCATTAATGAATATGGTGCCTTTGCTTTGATAGCAGTAATATTTCTACAGTTGCAAAGGTCATTCAGAGCATTTAGCATGTCAAGAGTAGGGGGATGAACACATCTTATTCATATTTAATGATAAATTACTTCTGCAGAGGAACTTGCTCTACTTTGTCTTTTAAAAACACAGAAAAATAAAATGATGAATAAATTATCAGGACATAGACTGCTTTACCTGAAGGGAGGTAATGGATCCACTGTGCCCCTGCAGCACAGCCACAGGGGCACAGGTACGAAGGCACCATACACGGATGGTCTTGTCACAGCTTCCCGCAGCAATTAGTGTGTTCTCATAATTTACTGCCAAGTCTGTGATCTCTGCAGAGTGTCCTCGCAATGTTGAATGAAGCCTTCCATCCAACGAAGACCAAATCTTCACCAAACAGTCATCTGAGCCCTGAAAAAGAAATATAACTTAACATTGATATTCTACTTTAGTACACATTAGAAGACAAATCTTACACAAAGTTAAGACCTAACACTTGAAGCTACAGACAGCTTGGGCCTGATCCTATCAAAGTTTAGCGTGTACAGTCAGAGTCAGCTGAGTGTCTAATTCATCATTGTGGTGTAGTAAGATTCTGTGTTAATCAGCGTTTTAAAGTACTCAAAGCTAATTTAAAATCACAGTGATCACAACTCTTTAAGTAGGAGGTTATTTCTGAGCAGGTGGATATGTTGACATGTTCTATCTTACTGTGAAGATCCTGAGACCGGTGCGATCAAATGCAATACAGTACACTGCAGACAGATGCCCCAGGATCCGCCTGTGCAGTCGCATGTGCTCATAGCTGCTGACAGGATTAATGGAGCTGAAGCGCTGCACTCCCGTCAGCTCTCTCCCTCGATGCACCTTCACTGTTGATGATAAGATGCCAATCATCTGATAAGTGATGAAATTACTGCAAGAGTACTGGAGTCAACACAAATACGGCAGGTGGGAGATTTAGTCACAATGATGTGGGCAGGAGTGACTGCACAAAGTCATAGGAGGAAATGAAATATATGAAAATACAAGAGGACATTACTCTTGAGCTTAAACCGCGTAATTTCATTGTCTTAGGTTTTATTTGCATTTGTCTGTCTTACTAATTTGCACTATTTATATTTATGTGTCAGTAGCATACACTACATTCAATCATCCACAGCATGAAATGCAACTGCCAGCCTTTATTCAAATCTGCTCTGTAAATAATACTACTGCTGCTCTAAAGTATGATGCATCTGGTTTGTATCTGTTACAAGGAGAAATGACAAAAAAGAAGAGAGAAAATCAACATATCAACATCCGTGTTTTTATCGGTTTTAAACGCTCACTGCTTCAAAGCTGAACTACTTTCAAACACTTAACAAGGTCTGCCTGTATGTCACGCTTTGTAAAACGGAGACTTACTAAACTGTTTAGTTGCTGCAATAGACAAACAAAATATTCTAAAAGGTCTATATGATGTTACTTTCCTTGAAGGTCAGGTTTTTAAATAGATAGCACTGTTGCAACCAGGAAGATCAGGAATCTTTGTTGCAGTGTGCATGAGACAAATGCCTCGACTGTGGTAGCAAACAGGAACGGCTGAAGTCTTGAAGAACTGGATGAGTAAAGTAATGCCATAAAATCTAACTGAAATAATGGCTTATGATCAGTATAACTGTCATGTTAATAACAACTAACACTGTGATATAATAGAGAAACCAAAGACACCAAGCAGGCTAAGTCATGGCAGCACACCAGACTAAAAATGTCTGCTTACTTGTGAAACCTGGACAGTCAGAGAAAAAGAGGAGTACATCGTGCACAGTGCAGCACAGTGCATAACTCAGTCCTTCAGGACTAAATGAGAACATGGATTCTTCATTATTTTAAATGTGCACATTACTCTGTTACTCAGTAACTTGTCAGCACACACAAGACTCACAGTTAGGTGGGAGAGGCATTTGAAAACACTGCCAATCAGTACCACACCAAGTTCATGTGACAATTCCCAGCAACATTAGTTTGTTCATGTAATTTCTTAACACACATAAGAGAAGAATAATGAATGAGACTGGACCTACCAATGTGTGGAGGTTTCTTACAGCTCAAAGGCCTCTCTGGTGGTCTGCCCTGGTGAAGGGCTGCATATGATGAAGCTTTAAACTGGACACTGTCGCAATCTGAAAAGTAAAACCAAAAGTTCAGAGTGATTCAGCTGACAACCAGCTGTGGGAAAAGCACAGTATCATTTCTGACAACTGCAAGAATCAACAAACTATTTAAATCCTTAGAATGCTAAACTCAAGAAGTATCAATGTAAGAAACATATAATGTCCACTGAATGTATGCAATTATACATTACTGCCCCGACAAGTACTTAAGCACTATGAAAACTGTGTACCTTTTGCAGTCCTAAGCACTGACTGCTTTCCAGACCCCAGGAGGGAGTGTACACCTGGGACACATGATGGCACCTCTCTGTCAAGAAGTGGCCCGATCTGCTTACATATTTGTAGCAAGTGGTCTGGTGCAATATGTCTGTTGGCTGCAACCTGTCAGGACAAACAGAGAGTGATATGTCACTGAACACAAATCTCTGTTAAAGTAAATGATCGATTAACTGACTGACAGGAAATGAATCAACAACTCTTCTGATAATTGATTACAAATACAGAACAAACCCCTTTAATGTTCATAGATAAAAATGTATTAATATACATAAACTGAATACGTTTGATTTTCTTTTTGGTCAAACAAGCAAAGCAATCTGAAGAAACCTGAAAATCCTAGGACTGTTTTTTGCCTGAAGAAACTTTTCAGAAACGATATAAAAAGAAAACTGTCTGATGAAGCGGATTTCATAAAAAAAAAAACAGCTACAAAGAAACAGTAACATTTCTGTTATATATTGCTTGATTTGAGGATCGTGAATATATGTAAAACTGACTATACACAGCATTTTATCCAACACAAGCAGTTTGTTTGTGAAAATACATGTCTGACAGGATAGTGGTTTCATGTTCTTCAATCCCTATTGTTAGAGGCGTGGCTTCTTATATGCAAATATTTTTATGGACCAATCACAGCGCAGGTCACATGCAAAACAACGCAGAGACAATGCAGCGCGACCTATGATTGGCCAGCGAAGCTGTCTCTACGTGCCCAGATGTCGAACGACCCACCCTATCTGCAGTACAACAGTCGGGCTAAATATTATTAAATTCTCTATTTAAATACCATTTTAGGAGCGGATATATCACAATTCACACTGACAAAATATACAAATGGCAACTTGTTGTGACTTTGTCAATCATTCAAACTCAAGATATCCAAGAGTGGCCCGACAGGAAAAAGAACAAAGACCGTAAACAAGCACAGAGCGTGGACACACAGTCCCCACCGTCACAAGACAATAACAACCGCCGACAATGAACTTAAAAGACATTAAGTAAAATCTCACCACATCTTCATATGTTCTCGGGTGCTCGTTTCCCAGCCAATCCAATCTCCTGGGTAAGAGCTGTCGAAAACACAGTTGGATAAATAGGAGTCAGCAGAGAAAACACCAGCAGGTACACATTAAGCTAGTAAAAACCGGGTGATGTCAAACGAGTGAGACGTAAGTTAGAGAGGTATTAAAAAGTCGACCGAGTGAGACAAGTTTTGTGCCCACACTCATTCAGGACCGACGGATAGCAGCTAGCAGAAAATAAGCAGCAGAGACAGCTGGGATACACACCTCATATTCCTCTAGTTCTCTCGCCAGAACCTGCAGTGGGTTAAAAGGGGGATTCGGATTGCATTATCTCTATTATTATGTAGCTAGTCAACTATTCTGAAATACAACACACTATGCCAGTCAAGGCACGCCAGCTCACCTCAGCCGTTCTCAGACATGGACCCGTTGTTAGAAAACGAGAAATCAAGTAATAGAGCTCTGAAATTAAACAATGAGGAAATTAACCACATGAAAGTCAGCTGGTTTATCATTAAGCACTAACCATATCGTTGTAGATTAAGCTATCAATTGGGTTTACTTTTGCGGCTTACCCGACTCAAGGAGCGAAATGTTCCGATTTTTGGCCATTGAACCGGCCGTGATTTGGAGAGGTGAAACAAATTTTAGGCTAACTTTATGACTACAGACAATATGATATATTTATTTAATTTCGGCTACACAGCTCTGACCCCCTCCACGGTTGCTCCCGCTTTCTATTCAGCCTGTTTGCAGTCGCCATTGGAAGGATGAGGCCTCGGTGATACGACTTACTTCCGCCACAGCGGAGTAACACAGGAAAAGGGGGGTGGGGAGCAGCACACTCGCAACAAAAGCCCAAAGTATATGTTAGCATGTTGGCTAGCAACGTTTCAATTATTTGAATGTGCCGTTAGTTAGTGATACGATTTCCAACCCAATGTCTAATACATTTAAGAGTAAACCTTTAAAAAATGCACAGAACGCAGTAATCGAACGCCGCTGACCCCCCTCCATAACTGACCGAGGTCGTGAGTCCTGCCCATGACGTCATAGGTAGTGGTTGCCAATTTGCTTTATCAATATTAACTTGCTTTGTCAGCTCTGTGGAATTAACAAACTCTGGTTGAAAAAGTCAGAGCTATAAAATCATCAATGGTTTAATTTATTTGTAGTGCTCATAAGCTAGAGTTAATAGCACCCAACAATCATAGTTTTTCTTATCCTGGCCTTCATAATCTATGAGGTCAGCAATTAGTTTCAAACAAGGCCCATTTTTCCAGCATGGTATACTGGAGGGGAAAACGTTTTACAAGTGCAGAATTTTTTTTACCTACATTGTTTTATACTGTAAATATGTGGAAAAATAATTTCCAAATTTACATGTCAATTAATGAGTAATGGGGCCAAAATCTGGAACACCACATCTGGTTCAGAGGTCACTATTTGCCTACTCACTGGATATCCTCTATGTTAGGACAGGTTTTCCGGAGCCATGTACTTTATGTTCATGTTCATTTGTTTAAAAAAAAAAAAAAAAAAAAAGACAAGTGTGTTTCAAGGACATGTTTATTGTGGTTTTCATTAGCCTTGTAATTACATTTATATATAGTGTATATTTGTGAAAAAGATTTTGATTATGGGCTATTAAACTAAACCTTCAGTTTTAATCACAGGGCCTGATATTTTTGTTAAAGGACATGACTTGACCCATCGGGCGCTATTTTCGAACCAGTGCCCAATAGGTTAATGTGCCAGTTGCGTTTGGGTTAAAATAAATAATGCTACACAAAATGGTTTGAGCATAGAGGTTCATTCTTAAACATATTAACACACTAATCTATGATTCTAAACTCAAAGTGCTGTTTGAAAATTGCCATTAAAAGCAAATCTTACATAAATGCACATTCTAATATTCACTTAAAGTTAAATGCACTTAAATCATACAGCAAACCTGGGACCGGATAGTATTCCAGCAAGAAAACACTTTGCATAAAATACACAGAACAAAAGGATAAGAAGAGCCCAGCAGCTTGTGTGAGGTCCCAAGTGCATTAAATCTGGCCCCACATTTTAGCTTTACCTGCAGTATATATGAAATGTAAATGAGTTAACTAATTAATGACAAGTCCACCTATTTTACATTTATCATGTCCACCTATCTGTCTAATATGCAGCAATATTTATACCAGCTCTCCCATGAAGTTACCTGCAAATTACTATTACAGGCACATTAAGTGTAAAGATTTTCAGACCATTATCAGCTACTTCGTACTGGTTAAAACTAGCAAGAATTAAATTCAGGTACTAAGGGGAAACATGAAATGGCTCTTTTCAAGTTGATCACTGTACATGAATGAAATAAACACTTGAGAAATCCCCACTTTAATAGGCATTTTATACCATTCTTAAAGAAAACTTTTTTTTTTAAAGGAAACTGTACATTTGGTAGAGAAATCCCAAAACCACGATGGATATATCCACATATCTGTGGTAAATACATATTGTTGGCTGAAGTGAAAATACAGTTAATTTGAAATAATAAACCACAACAAGCATGAATAACTTTGTAATGCATTTTGCTTTGAGCACAGCTGAGAATATAACTGTCTTCAAATGTACCAACTCTGACTGCATAAAAACAAACAAAAAATATACAATCACATAGCATCACAATGTTTTAAAGTCAAAAGCAGTACAGCTTACAAACTCCCTCATGACACAAGTAAACTCTCCCAGAATTGAACATAGGAGTCCTGATAGAGACATGACTGCCTGTCATGCAGAAAACTGCAACCTAAAGGTAAAATAAGTAGCCAGAGAGACAAAGAAAAAAAAAAAGCCACAATGGAAAAAAAACCCAATATACAAAACTTTCCCTTCACAGAAGCCATGAAACTGCATGGAATTTGTAGTATTTTTAAAAGTAATTTCTCCCCTATCAGACCCCTAAAAACATTACTGTCTTAAGAAAATAGTAGATAAAAATATTCTCTGGATTGTACAAGAAAGGAGGTACAGGTACTGGCATGTCAGATTAGGGGGTGTTACTTCTTCTCTGCTGCTTTATCTTCAGTCTTGCCCTCCTTTTTATTTGCCTCATTTGCTGCTGCAGCCTGACAGAGGATAGAGAAAATGCTCTTTATCATTTTGTTTTGTTGGAACACTCTGGTATTGCACAGTACATGAATTATGTGTAAATGGTCATAAAGAGGCTAACTTGTGATACCTCCTCAGCTTTGTCCTCCCCGTTTTCTGCAGGAGTCTCTTTCTCTGCCTGGGGTTCTTTCTTGTCCTCTGGCTTGGCCTTTGCTGCCTCTTTCACCTTTTTGTTCTTGGGAGGAGCCTACCATTTTGAACGTAAACCGAGCAACGTGAAACGTACTGTCAAATGCATGTAAAAAAGAATAAAACTATTTTAAATGGATATAGTGCTTTTGTGCACTGACATGATTTACTTTTACCTTTGCCTTTTCTGGCTGCTGTTTTGGCTGTTTCTCTCTCTGCAACACACACAAATCAATTATGTGGTAAAAATGCCAACAAAATTTGTATATTATAAGCTGGAATGTGCTTTGCTGGACTTTGGGGAACTTACTTCTGACAACCTTTGAGACTTTCTCCGTGGCTGAAGAGCATAAAACAAGATGTAACTTAAGTCATTTAAAAGTACTGATACACATAACACACAATCACAAAGAGCTGACAAAACACTTTCATAAAACTTAGAATGAAACCAACCTTACTCAATATAATAATAAGACAGTAGTGTAAGCAAAAAAGGGGAAGTAATGAGTGCCTTTACATGTTTCAACACATGGTTTCATATCTTTTTATTCTGTTGTAAATATGAAACCGTTAACCGTGAAAAGAGGGGGGGGGAGCGGGGGGCCCCCCCAGCCACTCTGAGTGACCTCCCCAGAGTCAAAATGTGATGCTTGTCAGTATTAATAAATGAAAATTAAAAAAAGATGACAAATTCTTGTCTTAAACTGAATTAGTTTTACTTTATATCATGCATGCTGCGTGACATTGGGGTGGTAACAATACCACAGTGTGAAAATACTCTGTTATAAGTAAAAGTCTTGCATTTGAAATGTCACTTAAGTAAAAGCACTTAAGTAAAAGCACAAAGTATTAGCAGAAAATATACTTAAAGTACCTAAAGTAAAAGTACTCATTATGCAAAACAACACAGTTTACACCGACATACATCATATTATTTAATTATAGATGTATTATTATGTACATCGCATTTAATGTTGCAGCCGGTAAAGGTGGAGCTAATTTTAACTACCTTTTATGCATATAATTATATTAAATATATAATTGAATAATATAATTATTGCTAGGTAGCTTGTAAATTTTACACCAAAGATTATGTTTGTCTCATTTTTAGACAAAATAAACAATATGAATCTTAATGATGAATGGTTTATCGTTTCACAGAACTAGGGGTTTAAGTTACTTTTCATAAGTATCTCAAATGTGCAACCACCAGTCTGTTCCGCAGTCTGACCACCCTGTCCAAAATTTTCCAGATATGCCGCCCGTTTCAAAAGTCATTAATCACCCCTTACAACTCCTTCAAATTAATCAACTTCTGAATTACAGTACAAAAGTTACATTACAAAAAGGTTAGTCATGTAAATTTTAGATGAATTGGGGGGAAAAAAATCCAATCAATTAATTCACAGAGGTCAAAACATAACATCCTTAACAGAGGAAATGAACACATCTATATTATATGAACATGTGCTTGATGAAAGTAAATATTTTTCCTTGTACACATTCATTTTTCCAGCACAACTACTTTGTATTGTCAAAATGGGAGCAAAGGTGAGACATTGCATTTTGGGGTTTATAGCAAATCTAGTGTTTATGCTACAGCCTCAAAATGAATTGTACTATTGTGAAAATGTCTGAGTGCACCACATACAGCAGTAGAACAGGAATTATAACGCAGGATCAGCACATTCAAAGTAAATGGTTAAGTAGCAAACTGAGACCAGTTTGACCTGCATATTAACCAGCGCCCCCTAGAGGCTTTGCTCCAACTCAAAGTGAGCAGGAGTGGATCATAACCTTAATGGTGATTGATGCTGTCAGTTTCTCATTTGCATTATTAATACAGGCATATGCTAAACAGGGTTCCAAGAGGCATCCTGCACCGACCATGTCTTTCCCTTTGTCTTGACAGAAAGTAGGACAAAATGTTCATTTGAGTGTCACTCGAAATGTCAAGATCCTTCTAGTGTCAAGACTTGAATACTAACCTCTGCACTTGCATCTGCATCACCAGTAGCCTGCCAGAGACAGAGAAAGGCGGAGGAAATTAATTTGCCAGGAACAGCAGCCATTAATGAGTGAGCTAAAGTGGGTGTGTAGCCTAATGCAAAGGGGGATGGGCACCTCTCCCTCCCCTTAAGTCACAATGAAATTGTGCAATCTTGAAGTGGGGACGGGAGTCTGACATGTTTCTAAATTGACTTAAGAGGTTTAACCAGTTCAAGTTTGTTCCCACCAAGCACACAGTGCATCATTCATGAGACCCAGATATTTTTGTTAACAGAGCATGATGCTGTGGCTACTTTTAGGAAAGTGGGGTCCGTCCACCTCCACAAGCGCTTCTGTACGTCAACACAGAGAAATCAGCTTCTACATCCCAACGGGAACAGCCTAAATCTCAGGATTATCCCATAAAGCCTTCCGGCATGATCATGGGCTCCAGTTTAAAACAACCACATGTGTCGCTGTCCTCCGAGGACATATCAGCTGCCGTAACTCTCCTAAGGATGACTGTACACCTCAAGGAAGACGCGCACCATCTTTACATTAGGCGCAGAGGTCAAAATTTCAATGACGTGCGCTGCATATCCTACGTGCGAAGAGCTGTCTAAACAAGTCCTGATACAACCCACGTTGAGTTGAAAAATTCAGAGGCAATTACGCAAGAATTCCCGAAATTTCCTTGAAACTGTAACCTGTAGCGTACGGTGGTTACACCCCTTTGTTTGGTCTCAGCACACAGTGAGGACTAATCATTATTAAACCACAGATGGAAATACATATTAGCAGCTGAACCACCACGCGACGAGATCATACAATTCGTAAACTTGTTCAATGAAAAGGAATGTTACACTGAACTAAGTTTAAAAAAAAAGGCGCCACTTCCCTGTATCAACAGGGCAGACACCACTTAGGCTACGTGAAGACAGCGGAGGCGGACACTTCACGCACTGGCACATGGACATAATGTAGTAAACATTTGTAACGCTACATTGTATTGCGTTGCAATTTACGATACAGAAATATAACTCATGCATTTAACTAATGTCAATAAATACATTGTATATACTGAGATTCCACATAATGTACACAATTTACTTACTCTTTTTCTTCCCATTGTAACTTATGTTGTAAGGCAAAAATAAAAAAAAACAACAATGCAGCCTTTCACCGGGCAAGAAACTAAAGGCTGTGAAACAGTCCTACACCTCACAATCCACTTCCAAAGCAGTCTGTAACTTAACATAAACGTCCGACCAGTATCAGAACTAGCTCAAACCGGATTGGATCCCCCTCTCGGTATATGTTATTCCCTTGTCCTACCAACCTACCAGGAAACGTGAACCCCCGCCCCTTGCACGCAGTGATTGGTTTTGAAGTGGACGAAGCATATTTTTGAACAATAACATGTTACCTGTGTGGGCAGGATTGTATGCCAATCAGTGAAGCAGGCAACTTTCAGATTTTAATTACATGCTGTTGACAGGGTGTGTGCAAGGCTTGAAAAAATGTGTGGCCAACCTTGTAAATATGAGGTATTAAATAAGAATGTGCATAAACACAAGTTTTAAAGCATGCCGTCTTAGAGTGCTACATTTTCACAATGAGATTTACACTTATCTAGCTTTTAGTAAGTATAACCATAATAAACCCGTAAAAAGTACACATCCTAAATCATTTTCGACTGCAGTTCTTATGAGCTATGCTATGTAATAAACATACTGGGGTTATATGAGTTCATTGGTGTTGTAAAGATGTCTTATAAACATAGGCTTCGTGAACGTTATGCTATTACCGGCATAACCTGATTAGCCTAATTATGATGTAACTGCACTGTGTGTAGTCCAGTAGCGCCACAGCTGCAACAAGGAGGCTGCCTAGAGGATAAAAACATGGCGGCTGGTTGTGCATGGTTCCTTGTGCTGGGGTCGGTTTTTCTGTGTAGTCTCATGAAAACGCTCCTGCCGACCATATCATCTTTCGTAAGTGGGGACTATTGTTGTGATATACCAAGTATTTGATTTGTAGGTCTCGGTTATAGCTGGCAATGTATTAGACTGTAAGTGTAATTTCTACAGGCTGTTGTCATAAGACAGCAAAGCATTGCTTACTAGCTTAGCGTTAGCACACTGTAAAGCTAATCCACAATGCTAACTTCATGGATAGCTAGTTTGAATTAGCATCGCTGCTTTGCTACAGCCAGAGGGTGGGGGTTTCTTGAGAACCTCGTCTAGGAACAACAAAAAGCAGTAATCGTTTTCTGCTGCATCATTGTTCAACTGTAAGGAGCACAGTCATAACGTTAGGCAGTTGTGTAACAATTGCAAATTAGTGCTACTACTAGAAATAGCTTAATGAAAATCTGCAGGCTAAAAATCTGGGACACTCCAAGTAGATGCCACCATTTATTGTCTGTCATGTTGGTCTTTGGTTCTGAGAGACGAGACAGTCCAAGTAACTTCAAAACAGTGCTGATTTATTCAAAGGATCACAGGCAAAATTAACATTACACGCTCAGGTATCTTGCACCTCCAAACTGCTTGCAGGCAGATGTAAGATGAAAGACCCTGAACCCACCAGGCCTGTACATTATATCTCTTCGGTTGGACTAGCCCCATACTACACAGAAACGTCAACCGGAACATCTCTCTCACCAGCTTTGCAGCTGGCCATAGCAGTAGTCAAAACATGAAGCAAATCGTGTGAATGTGTGTGTCTGTTGATTAAGTGGTGTGTAGCTAAAAACATTCTCACGACCTCTAGTAACATGTCGTGACTTAAACATAAGAACATATTATGGCTAAGGCTACAGTTCTACACGTCATAATAATAATATTAAACATCCTGTCTGCTGACAGTCATCAACTTTTCTCTCTAGTTATCCTTGACTAGATACACCCTGTAGAAACTCATAAGCATGACTAAGCATTTAACAGTCTAACTAGCCATCCTATCTCCACTAAACATTTCTAATACATAAAGTATCTATCCAATTTCTATCTGACTAAAAATACCTAACAGTCACTATGTATGATTGAGCACACGCAATTATAAAAAGTAGCCTATTACAGTTAAACCATGTCGCTGTTCTTTCTGTGTTTTTTCTTTAAAGCTCTCAAAGATGGTGCAGAAAGATGCTGAGCAAGAGAGTGAGATGAGGGCTGAAATCCAGGAGATGAAGAAAGAACAATCCTCCATTAGCATGATGGATGAGTTTGCTAGATATGCCAGACTGGAGCGTAAAATCAACAAGATGACAGACAAGCTGAAAACACACGGTGAGAAACAAAACTATTTACTATGAGTGACATACAGAGACTGTTACAAGAGTCCCAAAATAGCCCACACATAGCAACAGAGTACCTTAGAGCTAGCTAGCTTCGATAATAATGCAGATTAACGCAGGGCTATTCTTTTGGGACCGTGTACATAAATGGTACATCACCACAGAAATGTGTATTGAGTCTAACAGTTGCATATGTTCTTCACTTTTGCAGTGAAGTCAAGAACAGCACAGCAAGCCAAAATGAAATGGGTGGTAAACATCGTCTTTTATATATTACAGGTAGGTGGAGATTCTAAGTAGAAGCACAAATGTATTTAGCTTGTAGATTCTAATGTAAAGATGAAATCCACACAGAGCAATGTATACAAAACCTCCAGTTAATGCTGTGCAAGTACTGGTTTAAATTGACTTTGCAGTGGTAATAAAATATTTCTCTCTGTTATTTGTCAGGCTGCTTTGATGATCTCTTTGATATGGAAGTATTATTCTGATCCAGTGACGGTAGTCCCCAGCAGATGGATTGCTCCTGTAGAGCGCCTGGTGGCTTTCCCAACAGGAGTGGCAGGTAATAAACCTGCTTTTTGCATTTGATAAAATACAAGATATACTGTACATACTTATTAGTAGAAGCAGGGCATCTTATTTAGACTTTGGTGTCTGTATATGAATAACACTATGTCATGCTTTTCCTCTCCTAAAACGGTTGTTATTCTTAAGCGTTTGTATTTTTACTGATAAGTGTTCTTTCCTTTCAGGTGGAGTGGGAATCACATGCTGGTTGGTTGTTTGCAACAAAGTAGTTACACTATGTCTCCATGCTGTTAGCTAGTCATTTAAATCATCTAAGCTGTGATCGCAGTCTTTAAACACCTTCTTGTAACTAACGTCTTGCTCAGGATTTTGTTGATGAAAGCTGCAGTATTGTTCTGTTATTTAAAATACAGTGCATTTTGTCACAGGCCATTTCATATTGTAACACAGTAGTAATTTGGTGATGTTGAATTATATTTTTGTTATGACTTGAAGTTAATTGTTGATGTTTTGACTATTATTTAAGAATATAATAATTTGGAAATGCCTTTTTAATAAAACATAACAGAAAAGCCTTTTCTTTATTGTAACCTTGCAAATTGGGAGTTGACCAAAGAAGAAAATGTCAGGTTGCTTTCTTGAAGTAAAATTATAATGGACTAAAACTAAGGAGATAAACAGGATTAATTGTAGCTTTTATTAGAAAATAAGAATAAACCCAGGCAGCTGCCACTAGAGTCAAAACTTATCCACAGGCTCAGTAAAAGATTCTTTGTTTGGCAGCAGCCTGGTCTTTCTATTGTGGACTGCCTTTTACTCACTGGGGGCTGTCTTCGCTGTCCCTCCTGGATTTTCCAGGTGGTGGGCTTACAGCAGAAAGTGCTCCTAGTGCTTTCACGGGGAGTTGCATCCATGTTGATATTGGCAGGTTTTCCGCTGTCCAGGTTCCTTGTTTAAAGGTATAGCTGTGTTTAATTTTGAGGAGCTTTTTTTTTTTTTTTTTTTTTTTCTCTTAGTATTACTTCTGAATTGTAGGACCCCTGCTGTTCTAACACCTGTGAATTGTCTGATGCCTCCTGTTCTTTTGGTTCTTTTGTGCCATCTCCCCCAGTTTGTTCTGAGCAACTATTCTGCTCACCTGTGTATGAAAGACAATTTTCTAAAAACATTTGAATAGGCCGAATGCCTCAACAACAAAACAGGCTTGTCATTCATGTTTATGGTATTTTTGTCATTTGCTGTTTGTCATGTTTTTTTAAACTTTCCGTATGTCCATTAGTGGTGTTACTGTATAGAGTATATGGCATTATATAAGTGCTCGCATGTCTCAAACACTTGATTCTCTTAACATTTGTACAAACCTACATTTGTCTGGTTTCAGTTTCCAAAGGCTCCCGCACTGGATTGTAACAACATTGAAATGACAGAGGTTTTATTGGTATGAGAACAAAATCATAAATAGTTTAAATCATGATTCAAATTCATAAATGGCAGATGTCTTCAAATGTCCTATGTCAAATATATTCAGCAACTATATGTAGGTGAAGTGGGGTGTAAAAACCCTGAAACTATACCACAATAGAATATTTCAATCATAAAGCAGGTTCACAGAGTTGTGTTCTTACTCAGTCCCCAGATATTTTAACCCCCAAAGACTTGCACCCTCAAGGGGGAGAAGACCTAATCCATCTGTTTGAACCATTTAGTTTTCACTTCCTGTAAATCAGAAAAACCTGTCAGACAAAGGTGACAACAAAATAAGAATGGCCACTTGACTTGGGTTAACTTTTTATGTTCACATTACCTTTTTTGTTTGATCATTTTGAGAATCTGTGGGAGTAAATATTGTGTTTCAAGTTCCATCTCTCTGTTCTGTATTAGGAAATATAAAATCATTAAGACCAGCAGTGTAATCCTTTAATGTAACAATATGACAGTTAGTTTGGAATATCATTAAACATCTAAAGATAAATTATTTTAAAATGTTTGCCTGCAAAACACATGAACAATTTATAACACGTTGCTTTCTTGGTATCATTGTCAACCACAAAGTGTGAATTACACCATCAAACACAAGCAATAAGCCCTCAGTATCAGTGGTCCACTAATGGACACTTCTGTGGAAAATATTGATCCAAATATTTTGAACTCATTCTCCTATAAAAGGTTAGTCTGACTTCAACTGAGATACAGCTAACATTCTTATTATTGGATAAAGTCTGTGGAGCGGCTTGCAGATTGAGACATTATAATGTAGAAGACACCACTGCCTGAGTAACCTAACAGTGACTAGGACATGTCTAAAGCTTAGGAAACTGCTTTTTTCAACTTACTTGAATTTCCTTGGTTAACTGATATATTAGTGATCTTTGTTTGTTCAGCTATAATAAATATTTTTAGGCTGTGACCATAGATGATGCTATGGGTTCTGGAAAATGTGACGCTAGATGAGAAGTATGAACAATAGCACCCACTACCATCCCACTCCCCAACTCCTTCATACCAGTATCCTCTTGTTTTTCTCCTCCAGCTCAACAGTGGTCCTGGCCAGCCTGACCATGAGTTCCTCTCTCTCCAGCAGGCTATGATCCTGACTGAGCAGCAGCAGATGCGTAAACTGGTCTTTGTGTTCAGCAGCTTATTTTCTGTGGCCTGTAGCTTCCTTGCTAGTTGGTCACAGGAGGCACAAGTCTCCCTAGATCAACTCCTGCAGAGCTCGGGCCTCATTGTTGTGCTTGACATGGATCTGGGAATAAGAGTGGCATCAAGAGAAATAATTAGATGGAAATGGCAGTGATGCAAACTTATAAAGCATGAACTGGAGAAATATCTGCCTGGAGAGGTGAATAAATTAAAAGCTTTTGAAATTTGGCCAGTAAATGGGAGTAGGTGTAGAATGCATGGTTCACACAGGTAAAAGTATTCCACCTTTTAAGGATGAGTATCCACAAAAGGCAGTGCTGTCTGCACTCTACTGATCTGACTGAGCAGAGAGACCAGAGGGACATGACCAACCTGGGAAATGCTGCCCTCTGAGCTTTCAAAGTGCTGCAGTGCCACCATATGGCGATGCTGAAGCCTCTTCAACAGTTTGCTCTCAGTGCTGGCTTCACTCAGCCGATGCTGCAGATCCCATACCTGGCTCTTCAGCTCCCTGGTATGGTTTAAGCTGTCAGACTGGATTGCAGGCAACTTCAGGGCTTGACAACTTACAGTGTGGTTTGTCTTCTGCTTGTGGGCCCCTCTGGCTTTTTCACTTGAACTTGAAGAGGAGTTAAAAGTATTCACTCATAATAATGTGAATTACATCCATTATGTTCACATTAGGCTAGTCTACATATAAAAACATAATTATGTAATAATTCCTGTTAATTTTTATTTCCAGGTGGCTTTGATCCTTGCCTTTTGTCTAATGGCTTATCCTTCGGGGTATTGTCTATAAAGGAGTCAGCTTGGTTTTCACACTTGAGATGAGTTTTCTGTGCTATTAGAACCACAGTACACAGAGGGAGTGGACCACCTGGAGGTGTCAGTACTGCAGCTCACAGCAACACCACCCTTCTTCATATGAGCAAAGATCACATGCCATGCACACATCATTTCTTTACAGACCTTTTCACTCTGTAAAGAGAGGAGCAATTTAAGGAAAAGATAGGCATGTGGGGTGGCATGGTGACGCAGTAGTTAGTGCTGTCACCTCCCAGCAAGAAGGTTCCGGGTTCAAGCTTCGGCTGACCTCGTGCCTTTCTGTGCAGAGTTTGCATGTCCTCCCGGTGCCTGTGTGGGTTCTCTCCAGGCACTCCGGCTTCTTCCCACAGTCCAAAGACATGCAGCTTAGGTTGACTGGTGACTCAAAATACTCCTGGAAGAGTGAGTGTGGTTGTCTGTCTCTAAGTTCAGCCCTGTGATAGACTGGTGTACCCTGCCTCTCGCCCAATGACAGCTGGGATTGGCTCTAGCCCCCCACCCTGTGACCCTCTTCAGTATCAGCTTTATTGGCCAGGTGTGTTGGACACACAAGGAATTTGACTCTGGTACAGTAGCTGTCAGTGCGTATGTACACGTCCTTATTTAAGGCAGCCGTGGGCAAGTAAACAATGTAAGGCTGAGAACAGAAGTAAAGAAGTAATGTGCAATCAACAAAGGAATGTGCATTAAGAATAAAAATAAAGTACTATATACACACAGTCTGGATTTAACGGATCTACTGTATATGTACAATGTATACTTACAGGTATTGCACTGAGGGTTTTTGTCCATTCATGCTGTTGTGGGTTAATCAGAGTGACAGCCCGGGGGAAGCGGTATAGATAATGGAGGGACTGGCATGTGGGCATACTTGAAATAAAAATGAATTAGAGGATCATTTTCTCAGGTGAAATATATAAAAAGCTTAAGAGTCTAAGAAAGCAACCTAAATTGCTTTTCTGAGGTGAATAAAACACATCCTCGTTCAAATAAGCCGACATATAGGCAGCTGTGAAAAGTTGGACAGCTAAAACTTTGCTCTTTGGTTCCTCTAGGGCCTAATCTCTGAATGAGTTGCATAAAATAACATTTACTGAAAACTGAACACTTTTCCCAAATTTTATAATGATGTTGCCAGAAGAATAAGGAATAGTAACACCATAACCTTTCTTGCAAATAATCTTGCTCTTGAGAGGAGCTATCTTTTCATCCCGTTAGCACACTAGGCCTGCTGACAGTGTTTGCAGTCATATTTAAGTTAAATTGATTGACAGTTGGTAGGGAATTTTTTCTAAAGATCCCTTCACAGTTGTCACAGGAACAAGCAGAGCAATCATTAAAGAACCACTGAAAAGAGAAAAACACTTTATAAACTATAGGTCTAATGTTACAATATAGGCTAAAATTATCCTATAGCCTATTATAAAAAACAGACTATTCAGATATTCAGTATTTCAGTGTCTACAGTATATTTTGGATGCATGTGACATTTGCCATGTTTAAACATTTCAATTACACATTTTCAGTCAAAAGTAGGCCTGGACGACTGCTTTGATTAATAGCTTAAAAATCCACGTCTTACTTAAGGCTTACATGAACTGCAGACTGTGAAATCCTGATGATCACAGCCAAATATGCGCACTGTCCCAGTTTCACACCAGCGCTTTTATACTACTAAGTAAACAATTACTCATTGAGTTGGGAGCCCCGTTCAAGGACCCTTGACGGGCCCGTGCTTCTGCGTTTGGAAACCAATAACTTAGAGCCTACGGTGCTGCTCAGTGATATTTCTGTCCATATATGCACTCAGTAAGGAGCAGGAGACTAGCTTCACTGTCCCCTGCACGGACAGACAGCTGAAGTTGCCAATCAGTCAATATGGTGCTGCGCCCCTAGGGGCCATCCCACCAATCCTGCACAAATGGAGTCTGGAGTAAAAAATAGCCCCCCGCATTGTGTGTGTGCATGTGTGCGCGCGCGCGATCTCTGCTATGTCTCCGTCCTGGGTGCGCTCTAATAATAGAAAAGGCTGCCTGCTCCTTTAAGAGCCTACTTGTTGCAAATTGTACAAAATAGGCTATACTGTAACAACATGGTTATCAAAGTATTTCTCGCCACTTCATCGGGATCCACAGCGGTAAGCATTCAGCCCATGCGACTGATTTCTCATTGGAGTGAAACGTTCCTGGTTTTGATTCTTAAACCGACCAGGACTTCCACTCACACTGACTCAGGAGCGTTAAACCTACATTTTAATGGCATTTGCCTTTGATTTCGCATACCTAACGCTGGTTGGCACGTTTACAACTTTATTTATGCTTAGATTTATGCATTTGTGCGTATGTTGTGTTCACATGCAGAGCTTTCTAGAACGGGGCTCCCCAAGTCTTTCATGTCTCGGACCCTGTTATAGAGACGCTTTAAATCACATAACCGGTGTTGGGAGAGATTTTGCCTCAAATAAGCCTCGTTTTCATACTGTTTGTGGTCACATACACCATTAAGAAACGTTCTAAAGCCATTCTAGGTGTGGTGTCCACAACAGGGAGGGTGAATTCATCCTCTAGATCTACTTTTGGCAACGCTAAATAAGCAGTTTGAACGCTGGCCCAGTTGGATGACCGTGTTGTCTCACAACACAAAGACCTATGAACTTGTTTGCTTGCTACAAGTGATGGCTTGTCTTCCCACTCAGGGCTGAAACCAACAATTGGTTTCATTATCGATGAATCTTATTATTTAAAAAATTATAGGTTTATTTTTTTTATACTATAATATAGTGAAAAACCACCATTTCTCAGAGTTCAAAAGGATGCTGCATTTTCTGTCAAACCGTCCAAAACACAATGATATATTACATTTGAGAAGCTCAAACCAGAAAACATTAAGCATTTGTGCTTAATAAACAACATGAAGGATGATCAAAATACTAATGGCGATTAATTTTCTGTCAATCAACTAATTCTTTGTACTCTAGTTTATACAGTGCCTTGCGAAAGTATTCGGCCCCCTTGAACTTTGCGACCTTTTGCCACATTTCAGGCTTCAAACATAAAGATATAAAACTGTAATTTTTTGTGAAGAATCAACAACAAGTGGGACACAATCATGAAGTGGAACGAAATTTATTGGATATTTCAAACTTTTTTAACAAATAAAAAACTGAAAAATTGGGCATGCAAAATTATTCAGCCCCCTTAAGTTAATACTTTGTAGCGCCACCTTTTGCTGCGATTACAGCTGTAAGTCACTTGGGGTATGTCTCTATCAGTTTTGCACATCAAGAGACTGAAATTTTTGCCCATTCCGCCTTGCAAAACAGCTCGAGCTCAGTGAGGTTGGATGGAGAGCATTTGTGAACAG